TTGGCCTGGCATCGGGAACCCGGGATCCGGGCCCGCCGCTGAAGTAAAGGCGGCGCCGCTGGGATCGGATCGGAGCGGCGCATCCGGGGCCCCGGGCGGAAATAGCGGCGGCGCGCCTGCTACGGCGAGCCGGAAGGGACGGGCGCACGCGCCGCAGCTGCGCGCTGGCGGCCGGCGTGACGTCAGCGGGCGGGAGGTGTCGAGACGGCCGGGCGGGCTAGAGAGGCCGGGCGAGGTGGGGGCCGACGGCGGACCGAGCCCTGGCGCCCGGCCGCCCAGCCGCCCAGCGCGATTGGAGCGATTTCTTCGCCGAGAGTCTGCAGTCTGGGAGGTGAGTTCCGCGAGGGCAGAGGGAGAACGGAGCAAAGGGGGTCGCCTCCCAGAATCCCTGGGCTCCTCAAGCAAAGAGGCTGGGACGAGGGCGCCCACCCGTGCAGCAATGACGCCCGACCCCGACCTCACTGCACTTGCAAAAGCGACCTCGCCGTGGGTCCGAGGCCCGCGTGGAAGTGCTGACGCTGCAAAACGGAGGTGTCCGGCCGCACAACTCTGGTTTCTGAGAAGTGACCCCCAAAACCCGAAGTCACCAAAGGAGAAACAGATACGATGGCGCCGCTGAGAAGAGACAACCCGCGGGCTGAACAAAAGCATGTGTAAGGCATATGCCGGATACGGCGCTTGAATCCGGAGTAAAGAACCACCAACCCAGTTAAAAGACAGATTACTTGTGAGCGGGCAAGGCACTCGCAGACATGCCGCAAAGGAAAATGTCTGATAAGGACATGGGAAGATGCTCAGCATCATCAGGGGTCGGGGAAATGCAAACAGAAAACCACAGTGAGCCTTGGCCGGTGTGGCTCAATGGGTAGATCATCAGCCTGCAGACGGGAAGGTCCATGGTTTGATTCCTGGTCAGGGCACAGGCCCGGGTTTGTGGGCTCGATCCCCAGTGAGGGAGGTGCAGGAGGCAGCCGAAGAATCGTTGATGTTTTTCTCTCCCTCCTTCTCTCTTCCTCTCTGAAATCAATAAAAAATATATTTTAAAAAAACTACTGAATTGTGCACTTTGCAAGAAGGAGTTTTATATTCCAATTAAATTTTTATTAAAAAAAAAAAAAAGAAATGCAGGCTAAAGCGATCAACTCCTGAGCAAAATGCAGGTGCACATGCCCTCTCTGATACTACGCACCCTAAAAAATGTTTAGAAGAAAACTTGGCTATAAAAGGGACACACGGGGGCAGTTGGAAGGGGATAAATACGTTGGATAATGGGAGTGACTTCACGTTTGTGAGTGCTGATGGTGCAGTAGAGATGTTAAAGGTAAGAAAAAGGCAGTTTAACGGGGATGCGGGAAGTGATGATGGGGTCTGGGGGCATTTGTGTAAGACAAGAGGGTGGCTTCTACTGCAACGTGGGGAAGGAGGAAGGAGAGTGAGTACAGGCTTGGAGCAGGATTCAGGAAGGTGGGGGGTCCCATCCCAGGGCTTCTATTGGCTGATAAAAGGGAGCGCAGCCCACCTACTGAGAAAGAGGGGGGCCCACCAGTCCAGGGAGATGGAGTAATTTGAAATGGTGGGAATGCACAGCTGGGGAAGTCCCTGGAAGGTATCTGCTTAACCCTGTTGTGCATGCATGCGTGCATACACGCAGATGTGCGCATGCCATGTAAGCGTGCATGCATCGTATGTATCACCTGTACTCACACATCTCACATGCATGCACATGGGTATGCACACACACCACTTGCCCACCTGAAGTCCTCTCTCATAGCTTCTCCAGCAGACTTGCCAGTGACCCACCCACCTCTTCTTTGCTAATGGGTCACTTTTTATAAAAGGCATTTTCCAGCCTCCCTTGCAGCTAGCACTTGGGTTGCGGGAAACGAGTTAAGTCGGCTCGCGTGAATTGCGCGTACTCCGCGGGAGCCGTCTTAAACTCGGTTCATATAGATTTGCGGTGGAGTGCGGGAAACGTGTAAACTCGGGCCGATTGTAACTGCGTATTACCAAATATTTCATTTCAATCGAACCCATACTTCAAAAGATATAGGCATTTTAACGCGCCATCTTATATTTTGGCGGGAAATTCACCCCAACCCAAGTGCTAGATGTGATCTCATGACAAGCCTCTGGCCAGGGAAGGAAGGAAGTGGCTGGTGGGCCTTCTGGAAGACCTCGCTAAGGGACATGGTCGGTCAGTGATGTCCCCCTTCCTTCTGCCTAACCCCTCCCGCCTAGACCACGGACGGACGTGACCAAGCGGATTTGACAGGATGAAGGCCAGGTGCTGAAGAGGGCCAGCTGGACAGAGAAAAGGCCCTCCTCCAGCCCAGGGGGCAGCTGTGCTGGGCCAGCTGCCACCTGTTCTTGTCTGGGCCACCTGTCAGGCTTCCGCTACACGCAGCCACACCCCATCCTGGGGGCTTGAGGCCAAGTCCTGGAAAGAACCCCGCTGCACTGCCTGCTGGGTCTCAACCCCGGAGCCACCAGAGCACGTCCGGTCCGCGCACTCGCGCGTCGCCCATCCCAACGCAGCACACGGTGAAAGGAGCAGAAAGAACCAAAAAAGGGAAAGGAGTAACTAAGCAAAGCTTGTATCTATTTAGTAAGAAAATCATTTCCTTAGAAAAATAGTGTCTTTACACGCTGAGGTGTACAGAGTTCACGCTGAGCTGAGACAGATTGGCGGCCGGTTCTCCTGAGGGAAGCTGAGAACGATGTGGGTCTCGAGGTCCTGAGGTTGCGAGGCCGCGTCTTGGCTCCCGTCTTGGCGAGGGATGCGGCCGGTGGCAGCAGCGGCGGCTCCTGGTGCACGTGTCTCCGGGGGCGTCCCCGCTCAGTCACTGTCTCCGTCCTCTTCGCTGCCTTCCTGGGGGCTGGGGACCTGCAGAGCAGGAGCAGAGGAGCGGCTGTGGGGAGGCAGGCTGCCCGGGTGCGGGTGCTCCCTCCCCGTGCAGGGAGCGGTCCACGGTGCACCCCAAGCCACCTTCCAACCTGCCCTTTGTGGAGTGACCCCGGCATGTATTCTCAGACCAACTGGGCCGGGGCGAGGGGGGGGGGGCGGTCCTTACAGGCCTCCTCCAAATCCCCAGAGGAGGCAGTGGCGCAGGGGACATGAAGCCAGGTTCTCCCAAACTGGACGGTGCAGGCCCCTCCGCAGGGTGTGGAGACGGCAAGTGGGCAGCAGCCTGTCAGTGGGACTTGAGCAGAGGGCCTGGGCTAGCCCCGGTCCAAAGCTGCACACGGGCTCCATCTGCCCTCGCCGCGCCTCGGGAAATCTATCTATATAAAAGCCTCAGCACAGCCGATCGCTATGACGCACACTGACCACCAGGGGGCAGACCCTCAGTGCAGGAGCGGAAACCACAGGCATGGAAACATGGAACACACTGATGAATCTCAGAGGGAAGAGGGGTTGGGGGGGGGGGGCGGGAAGAGATTAACCAAAGATCTTCTATGCATACTAGAGGCCCAGTGCACGGATTCGTGCACAGGTGGGGTCCCTCGGCCTGGCCTGCGGGGATCGGACCAAAGCCTGCTCTCTGACATCCCCCGAGGGGTCCCGGATTGCGTGAGAGGCAGGCCACGGTGGAGGCGGGCCTCTAGTGAATAATAAACATCAACATTTGAAGAGTCGGCGAGTTCACATAAAATTCTGGCATTTTTCTCATTTCTCTTGGGAAAATGCGAGCAGCTCTGCCAACCCCAGGCCCACCGCCAACGTGGCCACCACTGGCTGCTGCCTAGCTGCCGTCGCCCCTACAGGTGAAGAGGAGCTCCGGGTTTGCTACAGTCTCCACCCATCCCTATTGCCTCCCTGGCCTTGGCTGCCATTCGTTACCTGCCTGCTGCCCCTGTGCACCTACCTGCAGGGACAGTTTACAACTCCAGGTGTGGAGGACGACAACATGTCCCAGATACACCCAGGTCACGGGAAGATACCCCCAGGGAGGGGGGCGGGGTGTCACCCGCTAAACCAGCAAGAGAGGGCCTGTGATGACCGGCACTGCCAGCCCAAGACAGGCGTCCTCCCGTCACCGCCACGTCACAAACGGAAAGACGCCACCCACGCATGTCTCTCGCCCAGGGTCACCAAGCGTGGAGTGAGCACTAAGGCCGTGTTTCAGGGTCACCAGCCACCTGGTACGTTGCCCCGGCCTGGTTTCTCCCGCTGCTGTGTGACCTGGGGGGAGTGATGTACCTCTCTGTGCCCCAGCTTGCTCATGGCTACCGTGGGCACGATGACACCAGCACCCAGTGGGTCAGAAGCTCAGCCACGGACGACAGACACGGGCGAGCATGAGACAAGCTCCTGGAAGGGCTACGCCCGCCCCTCCGGCCCCCTGGCCCCGGCCCCCAGCCCCACCTTGGCGCCCGCCGCGTGGGCAGTGGCGCTGAAGTCGTGCGTGGGCAGGGTGCTCAGCCACTGGGCCATGGACCTCTCGTGCCGCTCGGTGCTGATGATCGTGGGGTAGATGTGCTGCTCCTTGAAGGCCGCGGCCTCCGCCTCCTCCCGCGCCCAGTCCAGCGGCTCGTGCAGCCCGTCGCCGCCGAAGCGCCGGTTGTACGTCTCGAAGTGCACGCGCTCCAGGACCAGGCCCAGCCCCGGCGCCTTGGGCACGTCCACCTTGGCCTCGCCCCAGCTGCGCTCCAGCACGTCCTCGGGCGCGTAGCCCTTGACGATGGCCACCACCAGGCCCACCATCTTCCGGATCTGGTGCGTCATGAAGCTCTGCCCCTTGACCTTGATGACGGCGAACTCCATGCCATCCCGCTCGAAGGGCTCCTCGCAGAACATGTCCAGGACGTAGCGCTGGGCGCTGGGCTCCCGGGGCCCCTTCTGCGAGGTGAAGTTGTGGAAGTTGTGGGTGCCCTTGTAGCAGGCCAGCAGCCGGTTCACCTGCCGCAGCGTGTCGGCGCTCAGCCGGTACGTCTCGTCCTGCACGTCGCGGTCCTTGTGCGCGAAGGCGAACGTGGGCAGCATGTAGACGTAGGTCCTGGCATCGCACCTGTTCTTGGAGTTGAAGCCGCCCGTGACGCGCTTCAGTCCTGGGGGAGCGACGAGGACAAAGGCCTCAGACACGCCAGGGCCCTGTCCTGACACTGAACCCCGAACCCCACACCCCACACCCGCGGGGACACGACCCGGTGTCTGTCAGACCTGGGCTGGCGGGGGGCCGGGGCCAGGGGCTCGTCAAGCGCGCCCTGCACTGACCCCAACGTGAGCACTTCAGTCGAGTGCTGCAGGGCTTACCCAGTATTCGAATGTGAGATGGGAGGTGGCTGTTGATCTTTTCTAAAATGTCGTCAATCAGCCACACCTTCAGGGACACGACCTGCCCAGCTGCGGACACGCCCTGCAAAGGAGGCACCGGGTGTGAGGGGCCAGCTGGGGCCGGCTCTGCAAGCACCACGCGGGGTCGGTTGGGCAGCCGGCCCACGCAAAGGTTACATCTTCTCCCCGAGGAGTCCTGCTTTTAGAGATGCGTCCGCAGGGAATGACCAGGCACCAGAACAACGCTCTATATACCACGGGGGCGAGTGCCGCGTAACGTATGACATCGTGCGGATGGGAAAGAAAGCCCCAGCTCGGAGGTGACCCTCGGCCACTGGGGGAAATGGCCACGCGACTCAGGTGACAGAACGGTGAGGCGGAGCAGGGGATCCGTGGACCGTGGAAACCAGATGGCACGCCGCCTACCTTGTCTGTGCGGGCGCACCGCTGGAACGACATCTTCCTCATGTCCTCGCCGTGATTCTCGGGAATACAGCCCGACCGGACCAGGGCCGACACCAGGTCATCCTCAATGGTCTTGAATTGCGAGGACCCGACATTCCTCTGAGGAAGAGAAGAGAAAACGTGGGTTTTCATGTGGTCACCGACCACGAGAGAGGGCCCAGACTGCTCCAGCAGGCGGGGGCAGGCGCAGCGTGCCCGAGCCCGCAGCATGGGGACCGCACCTGTGGCCATGCGGCTCGTCCCCTTCCCAGGAGGAGTGGGGAAGCCCCCTGAGGGTACCCAGAGTCTCTAGGAATCCCCACCCTGGGCAGCAGTGGAACCGTGTCTTGCACCTGCCAGCTCTGAAACCAGCCCCCTCCTGCCGCTGGACACGTCTGTCTGCAGCCCCCGTTGCAGAGGGACCCCCGCCCTCATCACTGCCGGCCCCTCGCTCAGAGGAACACACCCGGGATATTGCCAGCCAGGGCTGGGTTTGGCACGCCTGTCTTAAACCCGTTGTTTCATGCACAGCCTGTATGAAACAACTTGCCAGTTTAAGTGAAACAACAAGTTGAAGTCTCTCTCTAAAAAACAAACAAACAGTGATAACAACCCCCTCCCTCTCATCTCAATCTGTCCTTCTGTCCGCCCTGTGCGCTACTGTCACTCTCCACCCATTTCCCTGATGGGGAAACTGAGGCAAATGGAAGATGACGGAGCTTTCTCTCTAAATTCTTAAGGCAGTGCCCTAAGGCAAAATTCACGTAACCAAAATCACCCTCAGAAAAGCATTCCGGGTCAAAGAGCGGCACAGGCGGACGATCAGCTCCCACAAACACCCGGGGCTACCATGTCGGTCATGAACTTGGCTTCATGGTGCAGCCTGTGCTTTTCAAAATTAAAACAGGATACAAAGTCACTTCCTACCACTATTTCCAGTAAAGGTGACACCACCTTTTTCCAAACTTCCTTCACTTAGACACTCCGTCCAAGCAGTGAATTTATTTCTCACTGAGTCAGGCTGACCAGAGTTGAGCACCAGGAGCAAGAAAATCTACGTGCCTTTGGGGGGCACCGTCTGCCTTTCCGGAAAAGGACCCCGCTGGGGAGCTGGGGAGAGACGCCTGAAAGGGCACCTGCTTGCCCGCGGGCAGCTGACTCCAGGGAGCCTGCCTGGCTGCGCTTGGGTCTCGGGTCCCAGCATCTGCCAGGCGAGGAGGGCGCCAATCACACGCCCGAGGCCAGGACCCTGGTCAGCGGCAGGGCGGGCCCGCGACTACCGCGGGAGCAGCCAACGCCCTGGTGCCCATCTCCCATGGATGCAGCCAGGTCCAAGCGCTGGGGTTGCCGTCTCAGCCTCGCCCGCAGCGCGGCGCAGAAGAGCGGGGCTCCGGCCCTTTCCCGAGGCGCCTCGCTCGCTCCCAGGCCCCTCCCCGGAGCCAGAGCGCGTCCCCGGCGAGTGGAGCGGCCCGAGCCCCGCACCTGCATGCCGTGTAGCCCTTCCCCGAATAGGCCATGAGCAGCACGATCTTGCGCTTGGGCAGCTTCCGGGGCTGCTCCCGTCCTCGCCGCTGCTCTTGGAGCTTCTTCGCGGCTGCTCGGGTCCTCCAGAACCCGGCCCCGCCGTG